TTGTCGGAGAACGACTTGCCTCGACTTTCACTTCCGGTTGATCATCCCTTTTCCTGTTCAGTCCCATCGATTGATCGATCAGCAGGGAGTTGTACATAGGGACGACGAACAACTTCTCAGTCGACGCGAGACGCTCGCATTTCGGTGTCCAGACGTGCAAAGTAATCCAAGTTTGCGACAATAGCCAGAGTAGCCATACCCAGGCGTATTGCTTCGAAACAAAATCATTGAGGAAATGCGGCGGCGGCGAATCGTAGAACAGATAATCCGGTATGGTCGCGTGAAATATGCAGGGGTCGTCATTCCGCAGGCCACAAGCGGCGATTAATAACGAGATCGATACCGGTATCGTTAAATTCACCGGGAAAGCATAGCTGAAACCTTGTATTAGGATCTTGCACGCGAATTTGCCTGGAAAAATTCAATCATCGTTTTTATTATGAATTATTTTACATCAGACGTTCAATCAAATGAGGAAAACAACTGAGAAATTTAATTTTTTTCTGCCATCTGCAAAGGCTAGAGCAAACTATTATACAGAATTTTTAATTTATTAATAAAATTGTATTGTTATAACCATTGAAGGATTTTTTATACCGTTGGTAAAATACTACAGTTTTTTTTTTATTTAATTCGTTATTTTTGAAAACATAGGATTGTCCAATACTGACGTTCCAAATACGGTGGAAATCGTGTTGCTGGATCTAACACTTGAAATCATGCGCGGACGGTCTACTGAATATAAATAATACCGCGCGCGGTGAACTTTATTCGTATTCATCCCATCCGAGCGCGGTATTAAGCTGGCGTATTCGTGAAACAAACGCGAAATCCTATTTCTAACATACGCTGAACACGTCCACCCTTTTCTGTGTAAACGATTTCTACTAATGATTGTTTCACTGACTAGAAAAGGAATATTAGAGCGTGCGAAAAATGTTGATTTGATTGTTACAATAAAATAACTAAGAAATACTAGTAGTGATAAAAAATTCTCTTAACACGTTAAATGATATTTGAAATTACATCAAAGGTGATGGAACGATTTTGTTTGATAATTAATAGAATAACTGCAAGTATTAATGTTCTTAAATTCAAGTAAAATTACTTACCGAACACGTATGCGAAATAAGCACCGAATATTTGCAACAGCAGAACGTATATTGGAGTATTGACAAAAGCGTCTATACTGTTATTATCGGCTTCGAGGATGTCTATAATGTCGGTGGCTCTGCCGGTGGCGTCCAGCCTCACGGTCGAAATCATGATCTGATGTTTTCCAAACGCCGAGCTCAACTTGGAGAACAAATGGCCTACGGTTTCATCTTTCATGTGTAAAATCAGTAACGTGCTGATGAAGAACGCAATTATCTTCCAAACTGATATGAACATGTAGGTGAAATACCGCGTTAACCGCAATTCCTTCTTCACCCGCGCCAAGGATTTCACGAATCCTAATTAAAAATCAGAAATGATACTTGTTATAATTGTCTTATATTAAAAGTACAGTTCGCATCTAATTATATAGTATTATTAGAAAATTGGAATTGTTACTGATAAGAATTTTTCATTGCAGCCTCTCTAATTTAAAAAAATGATCAAGCGATTTTTCTATCTTGGCAAGAAGAATGAAGTATGAAACCCTCTTGTAATAATTCACATTCTACATTTTTATAATTCTCTCATAAATCTCGTTCGAAGGAAAATTTTTAAAAATAGTCTCGGCATTTGTATTTTAATACCTACCGAAGGGACTTTGCATGGAGACATAATTTTCCCACCAGCCGCAGGAGACGAGGAACAATGACGGTGGTATGAGCCATAACGATGGCCGGGAACTGTTCAGCAATGGCCAAAGAAAGAAACTCGTTCCCTGAGCGGCTAGCGCGGCAATATCGATCAGCACCAGTACGAATCTCTTCGATTCGTCTTTGTTCTTATTGCGGGAGAGTAGCCCTTAAAAAAGAGAACCGTCCAGGTCTTTCACTTTAATTCAGTTAAATCGAGTTTCTGTCGATAATTCTGATCTGTTCGAGGGAGAGCAATTTAATTAAAACGGGTGCCCTAATTAACTTCCAAATCGATTCGACATGTTAGGATTAATGGTTGCAATCTTTGAT